GAGCAGGAGAGGACTATTCCTTAGACACCTCAGAACAGGATTTTCTTGATATTTAGAAATTTGAAAACCAAGAAAACATAGGTTATCGATCATGCTGAGTCTCATGACAATGTTTGTTTTTCGACAAAGTTTAAAAAAATAGTGAAAAAGATAAAATGATTTATTTTTTACTATTTTCACCGAAAATTACAAATTCATAACTCAGTCAAAATGGTTCCAAACTCCTTCAAAACATCCGGATATACTCCATCTGTGCTACCCCATGACCTTCAATAATAGTTTCAAAAAATCAACAGAAAGTACTTTGGTTTTTAAAACTCGAGTAGGTTTTCACTATTTTTTTAAACTTTTTCGAAAAACAAACATTGTCATGAGACTCAGCGTGATCGATAACCTATGTTTTCTTGGTTTTCAAATTTCTAAATATCAAGAAAATCCTGTTCTGAGGTGTCTAAGGAATAGTCCTCTCCTGCTCGAATGATCGCAGATGGAGATGTCGGATTGGGCAGATATAGAGAATAGATGTCGCTCTATGTTAGGCGTATTTGCAAACGCTAGACTGTTGGGAGCGGCAATCTTGCCTTTGAAACATCCATCAGGTATACCGTGTTAGATCTCATTCGTAGAATTGATTTATACGTAGGAAGATGCTGTTAGGTCCTGGCTACAAGACACTGGATGCCGCAAGCCTTCATCTTCTTTTCTGTTAAAAAGTTATTGAAAGTACGACCGCGACCACTATTTATTTGGACAGGTAATAGTACGATGCATAAAACATTTTCTCGTGAGTTGAAAAATTTTTTATTACTGAACTCATATAACGAGGTAAGCCTTATTACCTGGTTATCTATAAAGAAGTGTGTTCTCGGTGTTATTTTTAATATTGTGTTTGCGTTAGAATGAATCGAAAAACGAGGAGTTTCCGATTAATGTAGCTTTCATTCATTTAAATGAGACCAAGAAGCGTTTTTGGTTTTTGACTTACTCTGCCTGGGATGGGATACATGTCTGGCATAACCGATGACCACAGTAACTTAATTGCACAGGATTTTTTAAAAGGAACTTGCATTGTGGACAAATAAATTTTGAATCTAATTGATCTTTGTTGTAAGCGTCATAGCCATAATTCCCTTGTTCATCACGCGGAATATGAGACATCTCCAAAGAATCTAAAATGGAGAAGTGTGGCTGCTGTTACTAACGTGTATTAATGTTTGTACGCCTGTTGTCAGCGTCTCACATATTTGCTGCGCTTGAGAACTACAATCGTTGATAGTTGTTATCGCTGATGTATGAACTGGATTAGTACGCACCTTAAACGAATTGAACAAGATTCTCGATTAGAATAGAATAAATGATCTCAAATTAAATACCCGACAGTCTTGACATTGCTGTCACTCACTTACTTTTGTTGCATTTGATGAACAAGACTGCTGGATATTTTCTGCCAACGGATCGTGTTGCACAGAGTTTGACACTTCCCTCAATCTGTCGATGGCTGTTTGCATTGCGTGTTGTAAATGTTTTTGAGCCGCCACAGGGTTGTCGTTTATAATAGCACGTTGGGCCATGGCGTTCTCGAGATAAAAATTTGGTTTTTCAGTTGAATACGACCGAATTTTTAGATCTTTATTAGGTATGAAACGTGCTCTGTTTTCTCCGTTCTGTATTGAATAGATATAAATGTGTTTGATCTGTGGAAGATCATGTACTTTTGGTATAATATCGGCAGCCAAGTCATCGTTTACATATAAACTGATGTCATGCTTCGATTGAGATTTTATCTCTGTAATACAGATATCGACACTACTGAAATATTTTATTGCGGACCATTGTTTTGTGTCCGAATCGTGTAAACTTTTATCGACATAATAAAACAATGTATTCGATTCGTCACACGGATCCATTTAGGAATCTTAAATAAATGAAATGATCATGTAAAAATACACAGTAAGGATCTGTTTGATGTTCCTGCTACAGTTCCACTTGCCGCCAGATAAACTGAATTAAGGTCCCCTCTCCCGGGTAAGGAATCTATCTCGGTAACCACACGCCTCATCTGAGCGAAAATTTTAGGGAAGCCTGGACATGTTGAGGAACAGTTAGTTAGTGCATAAGTTTGGTGCTTCCATCTGTCATCTTTTAGAAAATCTCGAACGTGGGCCAAAATGGGGCATCTACTGTCCGGCAGATTTCTCCTCTCAGAAAATAGCTGGAGAGCTCGGACTGGTTTTAAAATATAAAATGAAGTTAGAGTAACCATGTAACAGAGCCACAAATGTTTACTCTACGAAATGAAGTCACCAGAATTCTTTTTGAATCCGATATTTCATCGAAATACCAGAATTTCAGAAAAATCAGATTTCTTGCGCGTTTAGAAGATTTTTTCAAAATCTAAAAAAAAATAAAATAAACAATAAGGGCAGACAAACAAACCAATATAAGTAAAGAGTTTCAATCAACCACGTTTATCCCTTAGAAGCCTTTCAGTTCAACTATATTATACGAAATTTTAAATTTAACTAATTTACAGCCAGTTTAGTCAATTATTAAAAACTTAGTTATCTTCAAAGGGAATGGAACCAAGCTTGCTAAGAAGTGGCTGCAAATTGAATCCATGTGAAACATGTGGACATCACATTAACGATCGGTACCAGCAGCGAGATAGCATGGCTCTCGTAGAGCACGTTGCACTGAATTTATTGGTGGAAACCGCATGTCAGTAGCTGTTCCGAAAAAAACGTTGTTGCCGTTTTACTGTCCCAACAAAAGTACTGGAACTGTCTTTTACCAGCTATTTTCACGCATCGTGTACAGCTCTCACACCGAGTCTCATCCCACACCAGAATTGACGTAGGTGATTTTAAATGAAAGAGCGTTGCAAATACTTTATACGCAAAGAAAAATAATTGGTCCAGTGAATGAATTAAATAACCTTGAATATCCGAGTTTTCTAGAAAGCCTTTTAAAGTCAAATTTTATCCAAAAACTTTTAACCACATGGTTCAATAGAGCGTCCAGTTCTGACGAAATTGCAAATTTTTACAGCTTGGGATGACTGAACTAGTCTAGTTCAGCTAGAGGCTTTGCAAAATGTTCATGTGTGAAATTCCTGTTTTCAGTTTCTAACCGCGTATCTTCGGGCGCTTTTCGTATTTTGATGGCACTTTTTAACAGTAGACCCTAGAAATGTTGACAATATGTCATTTTACTCAAAACTGAATGCTCTACCATGTCGTGTGGTTAGAAAATTTTTGAATAAAGTTTGACTTTGAAGGGTTTTCTAGAAAACTCGGATACTCAAGGTCTTTTGTCTCAAAATTCCTACATGCACCAAATTTTTTTTTCTCATATTTTCTAGATTCTGAGTTGCTATTTTAAATGGGAAAAAAAAAAATTTTACGTTATTTAAGGGAGGAGAGATAGGGGAAGCAATAGAAGTTAGACAAAAATGGGTACAAAATGACGATAATACAGCTATTTTGCTTTAAAAACAAATTGATGATTTCTGATGACGACCAGAATGCATCTCAGTTCATTATCAGATCCTAAAAAGATTCTCTTTTGGTCCCAGTCTGACTGTTGTGATGGTGTGAACTGATCTTGAGTCTCTCTTCATTCACAAATAACCCTTTTATAGTTATGTTACTATATTAATTTATATAATCTAGATAAACTCGTCATCAGCTGAATAAAATATATGATTGTCATGCGACAAGAACTACAAAGTATGAACAACTAAAAATGACTGTCTGTCTTGATATAGATTTACACACTCTAGCAGTTCATTCTACGCGTCGGTATTTCGAAACTTCTAACCCATAAACACACCAAACCAAATGCGTATACTGTGAATGCCAGAACGTAATTCTGCAAGTGTATAACATAATAACAGAGCACAGACTGACAGAACTGGATATCTCATTAATTAACCGTTACCTTTTCAGACTTTTACGTCATAAACCAGCACCGTACTTGGGTTCTTATGCAAAATACGCAGTATTGATGAAAAGCAAAGCACTAATTAACCCTTTCCAATCTGGTGTTGTAATTTGGCAACAATTGCTGCTGTGTTTTAGAAACATTCGTCTGGAATGGGTAAAGTGATGGGATGGAATAAACTTATAGTCAACTCAGAGCCTCTCTATTCTTTGAAGTTTCTGTTCCTTACTTGTGAATATAATAACCAGTAAATCAATCGAAAATGAAAGTCACTATACTTCGATTATTCGCGTTGTATCACGTAATACTTTATAATTTTGGTTTAATCTAAAACAAAGTTATATAAAATCAGTCAAATCAGTAAATAAGAGTAAAGTTGAAACGTAAAGTGAAACGTAAAGTGAAACGTAAAGTGAAACGTAAAGTGAAACGTAAGTAAAGTTGGTCCTTTCGTTATATACTAGATGCGATTAAAAATCCATAAAGATAATATTTATATTAAAAAAATAGTAAGTAAGGCATAATGTCAATGACACAAGAATATATTTGATAGTCCTTATTGAAACTAAGCAGTCACTTGAACACACTTCACTCAGTTAAAATTACCAAAAGTTGGAGCCCAACAAGGTTGACTCATGTGCTTTTTATTGAAAAGCACAAGCAAGTCAAAAAAAGACTTTCAAACAAAAAATTTAGAAGCAAATTGTGTTTAGTTGTTTTCTTTAGCTTTTGTTTGTAAATGATCATCAATCGTGCTATAAATAATGATTGAATGTCTATAGTTTATCTCTGCTGCAGGAACATTCCCGCTTTTACTATATCTGTCTCCCATTTCGACGCAGTAAACTGCAATATTAATACCTAAATTACACAGCAAATGATCATTTCGATCAAAAATTCCCCACACTTTTGAATAGGATTTCGACCATTGTTGATAGTGCTGAATTTTAGACGAATATATATATATTGAATGTATTTGTTTGAAATGTTCGAAATCAATAATGAGTGTCTTAGTTAATAAATCATCGGATAAAATTAAAAATATTTGAGTGGATTCATCAGTGTTGAGAATAAATTCGGATAACAACCGGTCGTCGTTGAAAAAACGGACATGTCCATTGCCCAATAGATCGAGTTTGTGTTGCACTTCGGATGTGAGTTTCAGTTCAGAATCAAACCAAATAATAGTTAACAAGTTTGTCAAAACTAAAACATAATCCTTACACACTTATTTCGTACACAATTGAACATTACTGCAGATTATAATTAGTGGCGTGGTGGGCTCAGCCTGCCCACTAATTGGTTTTGTCCACCCACTAAAAGTTTTATAATTCACACTACTCTGCGCTAATGTCTACCACTTTGAAAAAATTTGGGACAACGCCCATCCACCAACAAAATCCTGGCTACGCCGCTAATTATAATGATCTATCTCTAGATTCTAGAGATAGATGGACAATATTATCTTTTGCACCAGCAGAATATTTGAATGATGCGCTGTTTTATCAGTTGAATAACACCAGTTTCGATTCCGCGGTACATCAGATCAATTACTTAGTCAATCCAAAAGTTCTGTCGGAGATACCTTATTTCCGAACAGAAAGCTCAAAGAAATTTTCTTTTTTTATGCGATGATAGAGAAAACGATGCTCTATTTTTCTATGCTATTTCATCACTATCCAACTAATATCCTAATAAGAAAATTTCGATAAGAGCTGTTTTCTATGAAACTTAACTTTTCTGCACACCTAAAAAAAGGGGACTTTGTATTTTTAAATAACTTTTGATAAACGCAAGCTAGAGAGCTGCCGTTGGAAAGAGGAGATGAAGATGCATCGAATCGTATACTATTAGTTTTTTCTAATATGTTTTCTGAAGTTTTTAATCAATTTTCTGAATGGCGGAAACACAGTTCTTTATCGAAAGAAAAGCGAAAAAGTATTTTTTTCAGAGGAATTGTTAGAAAATCTACTAGCTTCGACTCTAATACCTATAACTTTTAAATGATTATATCTAAACATTTGAGCCTTGTACAGCCTTGTAGATCCTCGATTGGGGGTTTGAAAGCTAACTAAATAATTGAGAATACACAGCTCACAGGATAGGTGTGTTTTCAAAAATATCGACTGAAACCGTTAAGTAAAGCAGGTCAGAAAACCCATATAATACGATTCGATGCATCTTCATCTCCTCTTTCCAACGGTGAAGACCGCAGCTCTCTATCATGTTTCTATCAAAAGTTATTCAAAAAATATCCATCCACCTTTTTTTGTGAAAATGGCACTAGTATGTTCATAGCAAACAGCTCTTATCGAAATTTATATTATGATATTAGTTGAATAGTGATGAAATAGCATAGAAAAATAGAGCATCGTTTTCTCTATCATCGCATAAAAAAAGAAAATTTCTTTCGGAAATAAAGAGCTTTCTAATTCGGAAGTAAGGTATCTCCGACAGACCTTTTGGATTGACCTAAGTATTTACCCTTTTCCAAAGACTATTCATCTTACGGGAGAACCTCGTCAGATGCCCAACGCCGATTTCAATGATCTTTCGCCAATAGATACTGTATAGTGTCCTAGTAAAAAGCTCAAAAGAATTTGGTTCTTATTGCTTCTTGCGAAAGTTATTGAACTTTTTGAGTTTTCCCTTCAGAGCCTTAAAAGACTCAATATTTTAGTTTCACAAAGTTTTCTTTCCTTTCGTATGTATTCAAAACTTTTTCTTATAGATAGTCTGATAGAAGAAAGCCTCCTCTGCAAAATGAGACGTCTGCGATAATTTCCTGATAAGTTTTGATGGAGATATAAGCATCACTAGAAATGCTCTTAAAAAGTGACCTGTGTACAAAATAAGTTTTAAACAAAAAATCAGACTATCTATAAGAAAAAGTTTTGAATGCATACGAAAGGAAAGAAAACTTTATGAAACTAAAATATTGAGTCTTTTAAGGCTCCGAAGGAGA